CAAGACAGGGTTTCTCTGTCTTTGGCGCCTATCCTGGCACTCGCTCTGGAGACCACGCTGGCCTCGAACTCACAGTGATCCTCCTGCCTCTACCTCCCGAGTGCTGGAATTAAAGACATGAGCCACCAATGACCAGCTCATTTTAGGCTTAAAAGCCATTTTATAGTAAAGACAAACTAGGTTTCTTCCTGTTTATGATTAAACCTCTTTTTCTCAAGGATTGGGTTATGACCCACCTGTAACCTTAACTACAAATGGTTCTGTACTGCCTGTCCCAGGAATGACAATCATGTCTTTGTTTCAAAAAGTTGTTTATAACCATCTTGCAAACCTACCTTAGTTATGCTCACCTTGCAACCATGTCTTTGTTTCAGGAGGTTGTTAGGACTAACTTATTTGTCCTGCTCCTATAACTTGGCCTATTTCCCCCACCAAATCCCCCATTTGGAAACCCCTCTACCCTTGAGCTATAAAGCCTTGTCTTCCTTACATCCAGTATTGATCTCTTGAGCCCCACCTGAGGGGGAAGTCTGTGTACATGAATAAAAAAGCTTGCTTTAATCAATTGCTTGCTTTAATTTGGCTCTGATGATTTGGGTCAGTAGTCTTTCTCTTCCTGTCTTTGGGATTAACAATAAGGATGTGCCTGCTTCATACTAAATGCAAGACACTTAGCACAGAGAAGGCATTTTTCTTTACTGTGACCAACTGTCCTCTCTTCTCCTGCAGTGATCTATGTACATGATGTGAGACTTGTTTTAGAAAGAGAGCACGGAGGCTGGGGAGATGGCTTAGTGATTAGGAATGCTTGCTGCTTTTCCAGAGGTCCTGAATTTGGCTCCTAGCACCTGCCCTGGACTTGGTTCACAACCTCCTGTAATTCCAACTCTGGGGGATCTAATGCTGTCTTCTGGGTTCTTGGTAACCCATGTGTTGCATACATGCACATGCAGCATATACAAACATGCATACATACATATGAATACACACACAAACACACACGCACACCTAAGTTAAAGAAAAGTAAGTGTTAGCCTACAATTTGCAGATGAAGAATAGATATCATGGTCTTGAGTCTGAAGCCAGTGGTAAGTCATAATTCTTTCTCAGGCCATTAGCTGACTCGAATGAGGCATGTTCACATTTAAGAAGGAGATTCTTTTCATCACAGTCCCTCTGTTTTTTTTTTTTTAATACTTTATTTAACTTTATTTTATGTGCGTTGGTGTAAGGATACCAGATCCCCTGGAACTGGAGTTACAGACAGTTGTGAGCTACCATGTGGGTGCTGGGAGTAGAACCCGGGTCCTCAGGAAGAACAGCCACTGCTCTTAACCACTGAGCCATCTCTCCAGCCCCAGTCCCTCTGTTTTTAAAATCAGTGATAGGGATTAAGCCAAGGTCTTTCAGCATGCTAAGCCAATACTCTACCACTCTTCCAAACCAAGATCTTTACTTCAAATGTTAAAAATACCTGCCTAGTAACAGATTAGTGTGAGACCAAGCAACTGGCACCATGGTCTGGCCAAGTAGAAACAAAATCCACCACCACAGCTAGTAACTTGGTTAGTTTCCTTTAAGTTGAGTTATAGATTCATTATAATTCCCATTAAAATTCAAGATATTTTAAAAAAATAGTGGATTCGAGCTGGGCATTGGTGGTACAAGCCTTTAATCCCAGCACTTAGGAGGCAGAGGCAGGCAGATCTCTGTGAGTTCGAGGCCAGCCTGGTCTGCAGAGTGAGTGCCAGGATAGGCTCCAAAGCTACACAGAGAAACCCTGTCTCGGAAAAAAAAATTGTGGACTTACCTGAAATGCACAATATGTTTGTGCAGATGAACTAGCTTCATTTAGAATTGTGCAGTTAATTATTGACAATGTTGAAAAGGTGAAGTTCTCATAGCCTTCTGACTCTAAAAGGTGGGCTCCACTTGCTATGGTGTATTAGCTTAGTATTCCATTCCAGGGGTAGCTTTATATCCTACAGTACAAGACATACTAAATACCAATTTGTAGTCAGTCACAAGTGAGCATTTAATGTATTTTGAACATACTAAATTTCTCGTCCCATGGTATTTTAAGAGAGCTGTGTTTTGTTTGTTTTTCAGGGCTTTTTTGTTGTTGTTGTTTTTGTTTTTGGAGACAAGGTTTTTCTTTGTAGCCCTAGCTGTCCTCAAATTTGCTTTGTAGACCATGCTGGCCTCAAACTCAGAGAGATCCGCCTGCCTCTGTCTCCTGAGTGCTGGGATTAAAGGGATACACCCACCACCCAGTCTGAGAATTCTTTCTCTCTCTCTCTCTTTCCTTCTTTCTTTCTTTCTTTCTTTCTTTCTTTCTTTTTTGTTTTGTTTCTGTTTTTCAAGACAAGGTTTCTCTGTGTTAACAGTCCTGGCTGTCCTGGAACTCCCTTTGTAGACCAGGCTGGCCTTGAACTCACTGAGATCCACCTGCCTCTGCCTCCCCAGTGCTGGGATTAAGAGCATACACCATCACCACCCACGTAACTTCTGTTTCTTGAAAGGCATTTAAGTTTAGGAAAGAATATTTACAAGCATATATCTGATTTGTATCCAGCATATATGGATACTGAGCAAAAGATCTCATAATAAGTGAACAAAAAATTTGAAGAAGTCTTTCATAAAAAAATACCAAGGAAATAAGTAGTAAATAAGTGAAAACAATATTATTAGTTATTAGGGAAATATAAATTAAAACTGCAATGAGGTGAGATGGCCCAAGCCTGTTGACCTGAGTGCAATTCCCAGGATCCAGGTGGTAGAGAAAACTGTCTTCTGAGCTCTGTGTACACCATGGCATATGTACATGCATGCACGCATGCATGCACGCGCACACACACACACACACACACACACACACACACACACCAAGTGCTCACACATGCACACACTAAAAATAATTGTTTAAAAATGAAACCCTGCAGTGAGCTACACCTGTAATCTAAAGAATGACTAAAGGTCATTCTAAGGCATGGCTCAGTGATGGAGTTCCTGGCTAGCATATGGAAGGCTTTGAGTTCCATTTCTAGGACCATTTATACCAACCAATCAAGCGTTAGGCTGGGAAAGGACTGAAATTCTAGTGCACTTTTGGGAGCATAAAATAGTAAAAAACCAGCTGGGCAGTAGTGGCGAACACCTTTAATCCCAGTGCTTGGGAGGCAGAGGCAGGCAGATCTCTGTGAGTTCGAGACCAACCTGGTCTACAAGAGCTAGTTCCAGGACAGCCTCCAAAGCCACAGAGAAACCCTGTCTTGAAAAACCAAAACCAAAACCAAACCAAACAAAAATAGTAAATAACCTTGGAAAAAAGTTTAAACATATATCATATGACCTAACTATTTTACTCCTAGGCAGTTACCCAAGAGAAAGCTTCTATCTGTATAGTGGTATGCATACAAATATTCATAACAACTTTATTTTTAATAGTCTAATTTTGGAAACAACCCACATGTCTATCAGCAGGGGAGTAATAACCAACTGTGGTTTGTTCATACAATGGGAAATTTACTCATTGATAAAATTGAATGAGCTATTGATACAATGTGAATAAATCCCAAAATAATTGTGCTAAGTGAAAGAAACATATAAAACATTGACTTCATTTACAGTCACAGTCGTGAAATGCAAACTAACTTGTATTTACAGCAAGGAGATTAAAGGTTGCCAGACTGAGAGGAGAAATCTGTTCATTATCTTAATTGTGCTGGTATATATGACATTGCAGACATAGGTCAAATTTTATCAGTTTGTACCCTTCAAATATGTATAGTGAGCCAGGCGTTGGTGGTACATGGCTTTAATCCCAGTACTTGGGCGGCAGAGGCAGGTGAATCTCTGTGAGTTCCAGGCCAGCCTGGTCTACAGAGGGAATTCTAGGACAGCCTCCAAAGCCACAGAGAAACCCTGTCTCGAAAAAAACAACAAAAAAATATGTATAGTGTACTAGGTGTGGTGATGCACACCTATGATCCCAGCACTTGGGAGGCAGAGACAGGCAGATCCTTGAGTTGAAGCCAGCCTGGTCTACAAAGCTTATTAAAAGTGTAAAGCACAAGGGCTAGGGATATAGCTCTTTGGTAGAGTATTCTGGCATGGTCTAAGCCCTGTGTTCAATTTCCAGTACAATGAATACAAACTTTGAGTCATGTAAAGTCCCTAGCACATAACAGATGCCTAGTTTACTTTTAGTTCATTTATTCCACGGCCAGTTACTACCTCCTTCTTTCCCGGTGACACTGTTCCCCTAGCCACACAAGCCAGCATTTTCTGTCTCTTAGCTTCCTACAACTGGCTTTCAGGGCTACCACAAACCCAGAGGAAGACTGCAATCAAATAGCCCTTTGCAGAGGTGACTGAACATTCTGGAGCCCCTACCCACTGGAAATGGATCTGTCTCTCTACCTCCAACTGACATCACATCCCTCAGGCACTTCTCTGAGTCCCCTTTTTCCCTCTACTCAGCATTCTCTGTGCAGAGGCCCTGGAAGGATAGGCTTGTAGCCATGGACCTCAAAGGTCAGATGCTGAGTGTTTTCCTATTTGCTAGATTGCAGATCAGTGACTACAAATAGGATTGGTTTCGATTCGGCTGATAGTTCCTTCATTTGGAGGAATTTCCAGGCCTTGGACCTGTCTGAGACTTTAGGTCAAGGCAGCAAATATTCTAGGAAGACTCAAGTTCTTAACTCCTGGCGCTCAGCCCAAGGGCCATCTCACTTTATCCCCTTAGCCCCTACCCGGAACCAAACGATGCAGGACTTGTCGGGGAGAGGCCAGTATTGGGCTCTGGCTTCTGGTGCTTGAGGCTAGGGCAACACCTGCAGTAGCCCTGGGGGGTCTGGGCTTCTTCCTCATCTTGTTTGCCCAGTTGCCCTAGTGACTGTGTGACCCTTCTCCCCGCCCTCCACTGCCCGCTGTAGCCGCCTGCACCCACCATATAAATAGAGACGAGGAGCAGCTGGGCTCTCTTGGCAGTCACCATGAGGGCGCTGCTCCTGCTCTGCTGCTGCCTGGCCTCGCTGCTGCTTTCAGGACAAGCAGGTATGCCCCCTGCACAAATGGCTCCTGCGGGGACCCTGATGTCCCCAAGTTTTTATTGGCATAAGGGGCTGGGCTGATGGCAGAACTTTGCTTCTTACTGGTATCACTGTCCTTCTCACACGGGCCTGGGACACAGAGGATGAGGTGCTAGAGAGAACTGGGGGCCTGTTAGGGGTTCTAAGAAAAAAGGAGAACAGATGGCTCTGAGGTATGGGCCAGGTTGAGAGAAAGGAGTCTGGCTGGAACATGCTGGAAAGATGACCCTCAAAGTCAAGCCTAGAGGGATCTTTGAGATGAACAAAGATAACAAACTTACACCTGGACTTACCCTCTTGGTGGGAGACAGGACTCTGTTCTCGCTAGTGGCTTAAGTTTGCATGTCCATGGACAGAGTGGGACACTGTAGGCAAAGCTGGGAATCATTTTATGAACAGTGGGACAGAATTGGGGTCAGGATAGGGTAGAATTGAACATAAAGTTGAGAATTGGTGATTGTGTTGGAAGCAATTTGACAGAATGCAGAGAGGAATGGAAGAAACCTCTTCAAAGGGCAGGGTCTTTCATCAAGAAGGGGGCTCTGCTCTACACTGTGGCTTTCCTTTGACATCTCAGCACTTTGTGTGACAGAGGTGGTGGCTTGGGTTGCAGCATGGGGGTTATTTATAGGCTGTGGAGGGGACACCCGATCATTTTGCCACCTCTCTTGTTCTTAAGAATCCCAAGGCTGGCTTCCCCTTGGAGATTTTTCTGGGAGAGGTGCTCTAAGATTCCCCCTAAGGATCTAGGGCACCCCGGTTTGTCTCCTGTACTAGCACTTAGTCTTTGCACATGAGATCGTGAGGTTTGCTGGTCTGGTCTCAGATCTTTAAGTTTCTGTCTCATGAGGCTGGAGCTACAGGATACAGTCCTAGTGAGAGAACAAGCATTAGGAGGAACAAAAGCCATTCTTTGGGGGTGCAAGAGATAAGGCTGGGGGCCTCAGGCCATTGAGCTTGCTGCTGGGCCCTGCCCTTGTCTGCCCTTGAGTTAATTTGGTCTGTGGGGCTGTGGTGGCTGGAGTGGTGAGTGTTCCAAGCGGCTGTCAGGTGGCTAAGTATGGAAACAGCCCTGTAATTGGATCCTGAGCCCAAAGCCACTGCCACCCTCTCCCCTTCCCCGCCCCTCCTCTGCTGGGTCCATCCCCAGCTGCCACCTTGAAGCTTCCACACAGCAGAGTCCCAGGAATTTCTGTCCTTTTAGGGGCATCTTTTATTTTCTCTTCATATAGTGGGAACTGGATATCCAGAATATTCTAAAAGCTCTGCCCAGAGCCCTTGCTGTGGGGAAAAGAGGCATGTGCTTTGTGTGAAGGTTTCTCCAGGCAGTTACTTTCCTGTACCTAGCTGTGTGAACCTGTCCATTAGTGTGTAGATGTCCTGCCTGCTCCTTCCAGCTCAGTGACCATTGCTCTGCCCACATATAGATTGTACACTGTAAGGTGGCTGCTGCTTGAACGTAGTGGGAGGTTACAAGACACCAGATGTTCCCCTACCCCCTTATAACAGCAATCTTTCATAGTGATTGATTTCTCCCCAGAATTTGCCATCCTGGTCAGACCCTGTCTTTGTACCTGAACTCCTCTCCCCACTCTTCGTCCTGGCATTTACCTCCCATTTTGCTCTGCCCTGAGGCTGGAAGAAGCAGATGTCTTCTCTAGCCCTATCACCATTTCCAAGGATAGGAACCCTGGAACACCAAATGTTTTACCCCCCCCCCATTGCTCCCATGTTTTCTCTAGACTGGGTGGTTGACTCCAAAGCCCCGTTGTTGACTCTTCTCCCTATTAGGAGACCCAGCACCCCTGTTTCTCTAGCCATTGGTCACAAGTACCTCCACCAGGACTTGGAGCAGCCATGGGCTCCTGTCATCAGATACCTCAGGCTCACCCTTGTTCTGCTGCCCCAAGTTCTTTATAATCACCTGAGTCTCATCAAGAACCCTAGAGATGGTTTAATCAGTGTTTTCTTTGGATAGTGAAGGAGAGGAAAACCCAGAGAAGTGAAGGGACCTTTTCAGTCAGTGACAGGGGCATGTGTGTCAGGGCTTTAGCTCTCCACTGGGGAATTCTGTTCCCGCCCTGCCTGCTCTCCTCTGTTGGCCCTATGGGTGGACGTGAGAAGGGGCAGGGGATGAGGCCACCAGGAAGTTCCAGACAATGTTTCTTTGGATCCTTTGACTCCCTAGAGGGTTGGGTAAGGAGGTGATGCTAAGAAAGCATTTGTTAGGGATGGAGCCATTGGAGCAATTGCTAAAGGCTGATTCCTGTTCCTTATTAGGGATCTAGGGTTTTTGTGTCCTTTTATTCCCCATTCCCATATCCATCTCAGCCCTGGTTTGCAGATTTTTGATTCTTCTCTGGCCCCCTCTGCCATCCTAATGGTAAGGGGTTGGTGCATGCTGGGGGTTCCTGTCTATAGACCTAGGGCAATGTGTCCATGTCACTCCTTGAGGCTGTCACTCCTATAAGGTTGGTATATCCAGAAGGAAATTTCCTTCCTTCCTTCTCTTCCTTCCTACCCCTCCCTCCCTCCCTTCTTCCCCTTTCCTTCCTTTCTTTTTGGTTTTTCAAGACAGGGTTTCTCTGTGTAGCTTTAGAGTCTGTCCTGTAACTCATACTGTAGACCAGGGTGGCCTTGAACTCACAGAGATCCACCTGCCTCTGCCTCCTGAGTGCTGGGATTAAAGGTGTGAGCCACCAATGCCAGGCTAGGAAATTTCCTTTCTGTGTCTTTCACAGGGAAGTTCAGCTGCTACTGTCTTCTGTTGGGAGGCTTTAAGAGGAGTGAATTCAGGGTTCTTGGAGAGAAAGTTGACCTCAGAAGTCTTTCTAGCTCCCAGAGCGATCTTAGTTTGTGAAAACTGGGCAAGCCCAAGTGCATCTTGTCTTCCCATTTTCCATATGGAGTCTGTGAAATGCTATGCCAGGATATGCTTATGGATTCATCCCTTTGAAACAGTGACACCTTTCCTAGTGTCATGGGGAGCCACAGTTTGAGAAATTCTGGTTTAGTCCCATATATGAGACAGCTAGTTTATGGTGGGCCAGAACTGTGCTTTTGCCCACTTATCTCCTGAGGGAGGTGAAGAGAAGGCCATTGGCAACCAGCTTGTCATTTGGTGCCTGCTTGTGAGTGTAGGCTTGTGGCTGCTCTTGGCCACCACTAAGTCCGAGTATCGGGCGAAAGCCTGGAGATTTTGATGAAGGACAAGACACCGGGTCCACTTTCTGAGAGAATGTCTCCCACCTTTATTGTGGAGCAGCCTTATATACAAACTTACAAAAACCCCAGGATATTGATGCTAGTGGAGTGAGGTCAGGAAAACAGGAGGTACCTGTGGTTATGCTGGAAAACAACTCTTAGAGAACCCGCAAGGGCTGGGTCCCAACATAGGCCGAGAAGGACCCAACTCCTGTCAACACAAAGGAAGACAATATGACTGCTTCTGCTGCCAGCTTGGCCTGAGAGGGTGATGAGGCTGGGTGCTATGCATCCTGGTTGGAATGAAGGTGACAGCTGGGAGAGAGTGCTGTACAGAACAGGGTCTGTTGCTGTGGGGATGGGCACATTCTCTACTCCTAACCCAAGTCTAAGCCTGTCGTGTAATGTTGCTCGAGTATTTGAAGCCACAGCTTGCAATATTTCATCATTTTATAAAGTCATCCTATATTTATTGTGCCTGCTGTTTTTTAAGGTATGATATTGGAAGAATTTGGAAAACATTTTGGCATGCTTTTGGTCTAGAAGGAAGGGAAAAGACAACTTCCTCTTCACAGGGCTGATAAGACACTGTCATAATGGAGATTTGAGAACCTGAGAGGCTGAGTAGTGTTATTGAGTTGAATGGATTGAGAGACATCTTTTTTATGAAATAAGTAATATTTACATTTATTAATTAGGGAGGGACATGCATGAGCCACAGCATATATGTAGTGGTGTCTTGGCTATCTAATTAAGGTCATCAGGCTTGGTGGCAAGCACCCTTACCTGCTGAGCCATTTGCTGACCCTGAGGAGCATTTTTAGATTAAGGAAGATGAAGCTGGATCTTGAGGAAAGCAGACATGAGAGGATAGCAGGAAGGGAATGTATGTAAAGGGAAGAGAATAAGGCAACGTCCTGCAGTGAAGTGTGGACGGCCTTGAGTGGTGGCCCAGGAGGAAGTTTATTCTGTGGACTTGGTAACCATGGAGGACTTTGAGAAAATGGAACTGGTAATATTGATTGGAAGGAATAGGGCTGGGGGAAACTCGTCAGCCAGCCACATCAGGAGTGTCAGAGTATAGACCCCAGCAAACTTGTGAGTAGGAAGAAGAGGCAACCGTAACAGAGTTAGGGTACAAAAAACCAGACTTCTTAACCTGAGCAGGCTGCAGGAAGCCCTGACAGGCTTCCTCTAGGTCATTGGAGAAACTGTCAGAAAAAGACATTGCTATGTAAGAGAGACACATCCTAAATGTTCAGTTTGGCTGAGTGTAGAAATATATGACTTTAATTCAAGCACTTGGGAGACAGTGGCAGGTGGGTCTCTGTGAGTTCGAGACTAGTTTGGTCTTCCTATTGAGTTCCAGGCCAGTCAGGAATAAGATCCTGTTACACACACACAAAATTCAATTTGAGTCATTTTGAGTTCCACAGACCATAGGACATCTGGATGGGGATTAAAAGTGGTTAGAAAGATGAGATTAGACTGGGTATGTTGACACATGCCCACAATCCCAGCACTTGGGAGACAGAGGTAGGAGGAACATGAGTTCAAGGTCATCCTGGGCTAGGTAGAGGGTCTCTGTATTAAACAAACAAACAAAAACAGAGGAAATATGGGACTGGAACCTAAGGCTAGATGAAAATTAGGCCTAGAATTGTAGAGATACAATTCATATTTATTTATTTATTTATTTATTTATTTATTTATTTATTTATCTATCTACAAGATTTATTTATTTACCTATAAGATTTATTT